AGTAAGGTAATGCAATTTCCCGGGGAATAAGATGCATTGGGAATTTGATTTGAACGTTTATGAAGCGAGGATCTCTGGAGTCCTCTTCTAGAGTTACCGTGATTACTCACGTGAGTGCTATGATGGATAGAAGAAGGTGCTTACCCTGAGTTTTTTCTCACCTAGTGGCTTCTAGTGTGCGGCTGTGATAAGCAGGGAAGCTATGTTTGTCAACTATAGCAACATTCAGCTTTACTCTCATGTTGGGGGAAAATCCATACTATCAACTGAATAGTGACATCGTTTCAGTTTTCCATGAGGGGACGTAGCAAAATTTTTTTACATAATGTGAACTGGACAGAACGAGAACCTGTTACGATCAGAATTTATTCACATTTAAGAAGTACAAACATACAACTCACCGAGGAATAAACAACGTGAGATTTTCTTTCCACATGTTATAGTTAAAAGTCAACCAATGTACACCAAAATACAGAATTCGATATACAACCAGAAGAAAAGAAAAAAATCTCCACTGCTATTTCAGTTCACAGTACAAGCAACCCCCATGTAGAAGGACCTTCAGATGGTGATGACCCTATACTTCTCCGGCGCGAAGTAATGCTCCACCAGCTGGCCTGTCGATGAGGAGACCAGGAACCCGTCCACCTTGGCCATTGTGTACATGTTGATGGTCACCATGCCCCTGCCGATCACATGGATCTTCCTTCCGATGGCGACGAGCTTGCAGGGGCGGGCGTGTGAGCTTGTCCTTCAGCCTGCCAACCATCACCCACTCCTTGGTCTCGTTTAGTCACATCATCAGCTTGGTGCCGAGGGACTAGTCGAGCATGTAGAGCGTCTCGTCAACAACCACCGTTGGGCCAGACTAGCACATGGACATCTCATTCTCCTTGCCCTCCAGGACCGGTCGACCCGGGTCATATATAGCCGCAAAGTACATCATGTTCCAAGAAGCCTTATGGATGGTCACCAACTCATCATCCAATGCCACAAATTTGACAATGTCGGGGGTGAGCGCTGGTTCTTGTGCGAGCACCAGCAGTCTATGGTTTTGTCATATGTGTCCCAAGAATTAGGTGAATAGTCTGTCTGTCCGAGTCCTCCAGTAACATAAATCTTGTCGTTTAGAGCTACCGATACAACCCGTGAGGAGTTCTGTTGGTTGAAGCTTGGTTGGCCACAAGCATGGACCCTATATGTGGAACGGGACAAAAGGGAAGCACGTACTGGGAAAAAAATCACAAGCACTACGATGAACATAAGAAATATGTGGAGCCGAAGCCTATCCATGCCACCTGCAATGAGGCCTCTCTCCAACATAGATGGTCCACCATTCAAGAGGACGTGAACAAGTATGTCAACCACTATTCTTCTGTGGTTGGCCGTAATCAAACTGGGGTTGGATTCAATAGTCAGGTAAGTTGTCTTTCTTCATTTTGCCATCATTTGCATTGCTAGCTTTGTTGCATTCTCATGAATAATTCTTGTTTGATCGATCGGGTTGGCGGCCACTTTGTGCTAACAAGTCGATAAGAAGCCATCACTTTAAGCTATTGTTGGATGGTATTGATTGGCAAATCAAAGTTGCAACAACTTGTCAATGACCTCAAGAACCACAAGAGGTTGAAGAGAAATGGTGGCTCAAGCTCCCAGCAGTCGATTGGATTGGATGACAAAGAGGAAGAAGTTGTAGGAGAGGTTGCAAGTTGCTTGGGACACGTAGAATTTGAGGATAATGTTGGTCAATGTGGGCCCCTTGGATCCTGAAGGCAAGAAATGCCCTGAGGTGGGGAAGGAGATCAACCTGCGTAGTGAGTACGAGGGGGCAAGAATGGCCACGATAGCCACAGATGTGACCCAGATGGCGACCGTCGAGTGATTCATTTTGTTAGACGGATGCGCCCTGGACGTCGAGTTTGATTTTGGAATGTTTGAATTGTTGAGTTGTGGATCATTTTGCTTTTGTTGCATTGTTGAAATTGGTGATGTATTTGTGCTATATGATTGGCCTGCATGTTTGAGGGTTTGATATGAGGAGAGTGGTTGTTCGGTAGGACTTGAGGGACCGTCTGGCGTTATCCGGAGTCGTGCACGGGAACGTCCACAGATATTTAGGGGGCGGATTTTCCTAGTCCGACTGTAGATGCTCTTCTGAACAGGGTTTGGTAGCACATATTTTTTTCTATACCGCCATGGAAATCAAGCGATACTAATATGTTTTTTCTTTAGAGCATCTCCAGCTGCGCCCCCAACAGGCCCTCCCCAGGCGTTTTTTCCGCACCGGCACCGAAAAATCGCCCCAGTCGCGCCCCCAGGACGCCGAATTCCGCCGGCTCGGCCCGTTTTTTCACCCGGCGTTCGCAGGCCGAACCCGGCGCACTGGGGGGCGCTCGGGGGCTCCGGCGCAAGGGAAAAGCACTCCTGGGGCCACATTGTGAGGCGAAAAGTCAAGCCACCCGTCCAGATTCGCCTCCGACCCCCAGCGCTCGGCCGCCACCCTGCCGATACCGGCACTGTCCACCGCCCACTGCAGCTAGGTAGATCATTTCCCGCCGGGAAAAAGAAGGGGTTTCGCCGAGGCAGCCTCTCCGCCGCCGTCCAGGCAACTTTTCCGGCGTTCTGGCCGCGCAGGGCCTCTACACCAGCGGGTTTGCGCCCACCTCGCCCGCAAGGTGTTCGGTGATTTGCCCGGCCCGGCGATGGACTCCGAAGATGAGGAGGCGCTCGCTGCGTTGCTGGAGGAGGAAGCCGAAGCCGACGTCCAGGAGCAGGAGCATCTCATGGTGCTCGCCGCCCTTGCCGGCCTGCTCGCGAGTAGTGAAAAGCTGCGGCGAGGTGGCTCGGCGCCTGGGCGGGTGAAAGCAAAGAACCGACATCATCTGGAAGGCTACTGCATGCTCTACTCAGACTACTTCGTCGGCGCTCCATTGCATGGTGAGAAAACATTTCGGTGCCGTTATCCGATGAGCCGAAAGCTTTTCCTCAGGATTGTGAATTCCATCCGGGAGTTCGACAGCTACTTCAAGTGCAAGATGGATTGCACCGACACACTTGGATTTACCTCGATCCAGAAGCACACGACAGCTATGAGGATGCTTGCATATGGAGCTCCCGGTGATTCACTCGACGACTATGGGCGCATGGCCGAGTCCACCACCATTGAGTGTTTCTACAAGTTCTGCAGGACATGGTGATAGTGTTTGGACCGCAGTACTTGCGAACACCCAATGCGGAAGACACTGCTCGGATCCTAGCACAAAATGCAGCAAGAGGATTTCTTGGTATGCCTGGTAGCATCGACTGCATGCATTGGAAATGAAAGAACTGTCCATTTGCTTGGCAGGGGTTGTACAAAGGCACCAAAAGCGGTTGCAGTGTGGTACTTGAGGCAGTGGCCACAGAAGACCTCTAGATTTGGCACTATTTCTTTGGGATGCCAGGAACTCACAACGACATCAACGTCCTGCAGTGCTCCCCGGTCTTTGCCAAGCTTGTTGAAGGTCATTCTCCTCTGGTGAACTTCGAGTCAATGGGTGGCAGTACAACAAGGGGTACTATCTAGCTGATGGCATCTATCCGAGAGGTCGACATTTGTGAAGACCATCTCAAACCCTGTGCCTGGAGGCAAGAACGCCTGGTTTGCGAAGGTTCAGGAGCCTTGCAGGAAGGATGTCGAGCGGGCATTTGGTGTGCTCCAATCTCGATTTGCTGTTGTCTGGTTCCCTGCTCTGACCTGGTCGAAAGATCAAATGTGGGAGATCATGACTTGATGTGTCATCTTGCACAACATGATCATTAAGAGCGAGCAGGAAGAGGCAATGTTTGACACTGAACCATATTACAGGCAGGGTCCTCTTGCCCAAGTTGATCACCAGTTACCGGCAAACTGGCCTGACTACCTCAATATGCGTCAGGAGATCCGAGAACCACAGGTGCGTCAAGAATTGCAACACGATCTGGTGGATCACCTATGAAGGCTCAAGGGCGAGGCCGGGGCGACGCGGGAATGGCGTGTGATGAAACTTGAGTTTTTAATTGTTAAACTATATATTGTATTGAACTATTTGTTGAACTATTTGATTTATGTGATGAAACACACCGAAACACATTGAACCATGCCGAACTATGTGACGAACTAATTGATTTCTATTTGTATGCGAAAATCGACGCCGAAACACGCCAAATATGGGCCGATTCACGCAGATATCGGGCCGTTTTTTGACACAATTGAGCCGAACACTGGGCCGCAATCGGCGCCTGGGACGACCTGGGGGGCGACGGCTGGGTGCCCAACCACCCCCAGTGGTGAGTTTACCGCCGGCTCATCCCAAGACCGCTCTTTTTCGGCCCCCTGGGGAGCGGACGGCTGGAGATGCTCTTACATACTTATAAATTTTTAATAGTATACAGTAGGATATTCTACTACTTTCTCATGAAAAACAAGAGTTTTATTTCTCGCAGTCGTTTAGACAGGCACCACAAATCGTCAACAATTCTTCAACAACAACCACCTTCATGTGAAATCTGATAAAGAAAAGATGTCTGGGCCACACATCAAGTCCATTCACTGACCTTCAAATAACCACTACGTACCTTGTATAGCAGAATCACGTTTAGTAGAGTTGCGAGGAGGGCAACAATGATGCGAAATCTGAAATCTGGTAAAGAAAGTATCACTCACCAAATGGCTTCCAGTGTGCCCGGCTGGGATGGCCAGTATGTCAACAGTTGCAACATTCAGCTTTCCTCTCATGACATTTCTTTTTTCCGCGCAAATTACTCTCGGTGTTTCAGTTTAAAAAATCAGTTACGATCAGAATTTATTCACATTCCACAAGTACAAACGTCCTGAGCTTTTTTCCCTCATGTTACAGTTAAAAGTCGATGTACAGCCATCCCACCAAAATACAGAAGTCGATATACAGCCACAAGAAAAAAAACAAAACGTCCACTGTTATTTCAGTTCACGGTACAAGCAACCCAGCTAATGGCTGTCTTCAGATGGTGATGACGCTGCACTTCTCCGGGGAGAAGTCGTGCTCCATCAGCGGCCCGGTTGACGACGAGACCAGGAACCCGTCCACCCTGGCCGCCATGTCCATGTCAATGGTCACCGTGCTCAGCCCCTTGCCAATCACATAGATCTTCCTGCCGATGGCCACAAGCTTGCAGGGCGGACGGGTGAGCTTGTCCGACAGCCTACCGACCATCACCCACTCCTTAGTCTCGTTCAGCCACATCATCAGCTTGGTGCCGAGGGACTGGTCGAGCATGTAGAGCATCCTGTCAACGACGACCGTCGGGCCGGACCAACGAGACAGGAGTTTTAGGACCATGGCTCGGTCGAACCTATGGTCAGCACTCCTTCCATAGGGATCCACACCCTATTAGCATTCAAAATTTTGTGACCGAGTACTCTTTACGTTAACCCATCATTTAGTCAGATTGCTCATAAGCGTTCTCAGGCTCGATTTCCAATGAACATGATGGGCTGGTAGCCTGACACACCTCCCAAAAATATTGTAGAATCACAAGCCCAAGCAAGAGACTTAGAAAAGAGTTATGCTCAGGCCTCCCTCACGATGCTAAGTGTTCAGAGAAAAAATAGAAACACAACATAAAAAAGAAGAAATAAAAGAAAATAAACAAACAAAAAGAAGAAAAATGAAAAAATAAACAAAAGTAAACGGAAACAGAAGAATAGTATTGTTGCAATGGAGTAGCTTGACATGCCTGTCAAGCAGAATCTATCACCGAATCTTAGTATTGTGAGTCATGGTTGTACTACGATACATAAAATTTTGATTTTCTCTGGAAGACTATTGCTGCCGTTCTCTCTTTGCTGCGGTGCAAAGAAATTTGTCTAATTGAAGCATTCAGAAAACAATTCAGCTCGATATAATATCTGCCGTGGGTACTGTTCATTTATATGGCATCCATGCAAGCCTGGGGCCAAACTTGACTTGCATCACGAAGCAATAAAGAATGTGAACAGTACAGGTCTGTGGACCAAAGTTGATTATTTTATTTCATGTACTGTAGCATGCACTAGATTTCATGTACTATAGGCCTGCTAACTATGTTTTGATGATTCCCGCTATATTTTACCATGGCCGTCATGCATAAATCCCGAAAAAGGGGGCCAACAGGTGTATGGCTTTGAGCGTAGGTGCCGAGGGACCAGCGCAAGGCAATCTCATTCTCCTTGCCCCTCCAGGACTGGTCGACCGGGTCATATATACCCGCAAAGTACATTCTATTCCAGGACGCCTTGTGGATGGTCACCAGCTCATCATCCAACGCCATGTATTTGACAATGTCAGGAGTGAGCATCGGGTTCTTGTGCGAGCACCAGCAGTCTGTGGCTTTGTCGTACATATCCCAAGGATTAGGTAACTTGTCTGTTAATCCGAGTCCACGGGTAACATAAGGCTTGTCGTTCAGAGCTGCTGATACAAAGTAACACCTGAAATCAAAGCAGCGGTGCATTAGTAGGACAGCATGGCGGAGAATTATAGGCCACAAAGAGCTGCAAATTTCCAAGAGATTTTCCCTCGGAAACAAAACCTCCTGATCTATATTTTGCTCCTCGTCATACACTCGCTTCTTAGAATCCAATACACAACAGGAGGTGCACACTTTAAGAAATCAACAAATATCATTTGCGTTCACAGTTATATCATGAAACAATCTGATATTCCCCGCAAAAAAAAACAATCCGATATCATTTGACAGAAAATCAGCAAGACAAAGGAGACACAGTGTGCATTTATGTAAAGAAAATGCAAGTCGAAGGCTTGCAGTCATTTAAGGATTTACATACATCACAACCGTTTACATGTATGTTATCTCAGATTTCGATCAAACTTGAGAGACCCGCATGGAAAAGCAAGCAATCTGTGTATTCAGATTAAATAACCGCCTTATTTGCAAATTGGCAGACTAGAATCAAAGCACACATACACCTAGTGTTTTTTTCAATCTTAAACATACAACTAGCTGACACACCCTATCTACTTTGCTAGCTCAGCACAATGGCTCTACCATGGTAATTTTTGGCAGAACAGTTTGTTCAAATTTACAGTAACTACTGGTGTTCTCAGTTACTGCAAGCTACCAGCAACAATATGAGGCCATTTTTCTTTGAATAAATATCGATTGTTGCAAATTTCCGTGTTTCTTCAATGGATCTTCGAAAAAGGCAAGTGTGCCATCTTTATTATGGTAATAATGATCCTACTAACCAAAGGAGTTACGGAAATAGAGGAGCTACAAGTCAGTAACAAAAACACAAACCTGTCAAATCAATCAAAAGTTGCAAATTCACCGGTTTCCCTCTCCTTCCATGACCATGAGAACAACAGAGATTCTTTCGCATTGCTGTTTGTCTGTCTGTCGTTGCGAGCCAGCCAACAAATGCATTAAACTCTTTTTTTTGGCAAAGGAGGTAGACCCCGGCCTCTGCATCATAATGACGCATGCGGCCATTTTATTAAAACAAGCAAAGAGTAATCAAGTCTATGAACCAGTACATCTCGCGAATGGAGCAGAAAAATAAAACAAACAAAAGCTGAAAAAAGACATCAAGCCACAACCGGCAGATCATACGACACGGTGTCTAGACACCTATCCTATTAGTGGACCGACATCCAAACCGGTTGAAACTCATATGAATTACGTTTAGATCAGAGTGGCGCAGCAGAAGTGTGGTGGGCCCATAACCCACAGGTCCCAGGATAATTTATTTATTTTCATTTTTCAACCTTTTTATCATAATTATTTCTCTATGTGAATTTCAATTTGCCTTTTTTTGTTCAGGTTCCAATTACATCGCCTATCACTTTGGTTAGCTTGCCACTACCATGTTCACTTATATCGAATTCAAAGATGGACAAATTCGAAATTTCACACTGCATATGTTCATTTAAATCCAAGCAGAGTGGTCAAAACTGATGTTTCTCTGAAACTCCAGTGATAGTGCGGAAGGATGCTTGGACTGGTTTGACTGGGACTGCTGTAGGTCAACAACATGTAGTAGAATGAACTGATTCGACCTCAATGGTTTTCACAAATCAAGAAAATATCGTTTGTGTTTACAGTTATAGGAAGAAATGCACTGTCATCACGCGACATTAATTCAGCAGGTTCAGAAGTTTGAACTTTGGTCACCTGTAAACTATAGCCATGCTTGTGTTTTTGTTCCACTTCGCACTGGTAACTTTGTCCTTGTTTGTTGCAGTATTCAGTTTTGGATTGCTTAATTGTGGATGGGCACCACAAAGCGTCAATAGTTCATCAACAATTACAGCACCTTCTGTTGGAGAATAAAGGTCACAAGGGGAAGAAATAAATGGCGACAACAACTGTCATGTGAAGTTTGATGAAGGAATGATGTCTTGGCCACACACCTAGTCCATTCGTTAACCTTCTATAAATAGCTGACTTTCCTGTATAGCAGAATCACGTTTAGTTGCTAGAGGGAGGATGCATGACCAAGTGTGTGTGAGGAGAAAACCAATGATGAGCATGATGAGTGTTAAGTCAGATAGTGCAATTTCCCGGGGGAGTGAGATGCATTGGGAATTTTATAGGAACATTGATGAAGTGTTCACCTCTAGAGTCCACTTCTAGAGTTACTTTGCAGTTCGATCATGCGTTCATCTATGGTAAAACAACAAAATCACTAGTTAAGGGGTACCTCTTGTAAAATTCACTCCCACCTCCTATGGTGATGGCACACTGCTTGTGCGATATTCATGGCAACCATAGAGTTTGGTGGGATTGCAAACCAAACCACAATACATGATGTATATACCTTGCATATGAAAGGGTTTGATGCAGCCTGGTGGAAGCATGTCAAATCTTTTGTACATGAAGGTAGAGTTGGAATCAAGGTTAATGATGATAGGTTATTACTTCCAAACACAAAAAGGATTGAGATGGGGTGATCTGATGTCTCTTATCCTTTTTAATGTTGTCGTTAATATGTTGGTCGTTCTCATCAATAGAGCGAAAAAAGACGGCCAGGTAGGGGTCTTATCCCACATCTAGTGATGGTGGGGTAGTGTTGCAAGAAAAGCTCGAGGCTCGTGATCCGCTCGAGATCGACTGTTATTTTGACTCGACTCGAGATCAATTTGAAAAGAAATGAGCTGAATATGAACACTTTATGTTGCTCAATAGAGAAACGAGTTAATCTTAAGCTAACATTGGCTTGCTCGATTTTAGCTCAATAGCTCGACGTCATATAATTATATTAAATAATGTTGATTCATATTTAAAGGAAATAGGATAATTTATTGCCATATATGTTGTGTCCATTTTTTTCAATTTTACCTAGTAGGAAACATGGAGGCCTATTAAGCATGAGAAATTTAGCTTCAATATAGTGTGTGGTTAGTCATGTGTCAAATATCTTATTATTGTCAACCAAAGTTTAAGAGCAGATGCACCTTTATTTTTCTATCTTTCTAGTTCATTGATCCCTATTTATCAAGTGCTAGTCTTTAGTTGAGAGAGAACAAGTCAAATTTTATAGTGATTTTCTATGTTGTGTTGTTGGCAATAATGTTTCAAAAATTGCCTATTCATAAATCATCTAATTATTTATCTCGAAACTATCTCGAGATCGGCTCGAGATCGATACAAGTTGAGAACGAGCCACTTTCTACGGCTCAACCTTAAGCTTCACTCGGTTTGAGCTCGCTCGAATTTTAGTATAATATGAGTTGAGCATAATCCAACTCGCTCGAGCTCGACTCGTTTGCAGCCCTATGTGGGGTATCCATTCTACAATATGCAGATGACACCATTATTTTCATGGAACATGATCTAGCCAAGGCAAGGAATATGAAGTTAGTTTTATGCCTTTTTAAAAAACTATCCGGGCTGAAAATTAATTTCAACAAGAGTAAATTATTCTGTTTTGGATGCGCCAAAGAAGAACAGGATAACTATAAACAGTTGTTCGATTGCAAGCTAGGTTCTATACCCTTTACATACCTGGGAATCCCAATACACCATCGCAAAACTCACTAATAATAAAGAGTGGAAATGTATTGAATATCGATTTGAAAAGAAATTTGTTACTGGAAGGGAAAACTCTTATCTTAGGGGGGGGGGGGTTGATCCTTATCAACTCGGTACTCACGAGCATGCCGATGTTCCTCCTTTCCTTCTTTGAGGTACCCGTAGGGATACGGAAAAGATCGGATTTTTATCGATCTGATTTTTCTGGCAAATTGATGAGAATAAAAACAAATATAGATTAGCAAAATGGGATTTTATTTGGAGGCCAAAGGACCAAGGGGGCTTGGGCATTGAAAATCTCGAAGTAAAACATAAATGTCTACTTAGCAGATGGCTATATAGCCTATCGGTAGAGACGGAAGGGGTATGGATGCAGATCTTGCGTAACAAATACTTACATTCTAAAAGGATGGCGCAAGTTACGACACAACCGTCTGACTCTCCTTTTTGGAAGGGGCTTATGAGCATAAAGAATGCCTTCTTCAATAGGAGCAAATTATTGTTGGAAATAGACAGAGTTCCGGGTTTTGGGAAGATACCTAGTTGGGTGATACCCCACTAGCCTTGCAATACCATTCCCTATATAACATTGTACCACGGAAAGAGGTTTTGTTTTTACGGTGTTGGGGTCTGTTCCTCTTAACATTCAGTTCACAGATCGCTAATAGGTGAATGATGGGATAGATGGCCGCATCTCGTGTGCATGTTGATGGCGTTAATCTTTCTGATGCAGCACACTCCTTTCATTGGAAATTGTCTATGTCAGGAGTCTTCTTGGTTAAGTATATGTATACAGATTTGATAAACATAGGGACGATCCCGAGGTCGATTCACATTTGTAAAATTAAGGTGTCTTTGAAAATCATGGTGTTTATGTGGTTTTGCATAAGGGAGTCATTTTGACAAAGGATAACTTGGCAAAGTCTAGCTGATAAGGTAGTAAGCATTGTTGCTTTTGTGATCAGGACAAAACAATAGAACATCTATTTCTACTTTGGCCACTTGCTAAGTTACCGTGGCGGACCATTCATGTAGCCTTTAACGTTACTCCGCTCGTATCGTTTACACATTTATTTGGGACGTGGTTAACTGGGATTGAGCCTAAAACGGCGGCACATATTCGAGTAGGAGTGTGTGCATTACTTTGGTCATCTAAAATTGTCGGAATGATATTGCCTTTAACAGACAAACCATCACTTTTTTTGCAGGTTATCTTCAGGGCGACAG